GCTGCTGTTTTTACCATGAAAAATGTAACCGTGATTTTGCTTTCAAGCTACTCTTTCCATGTTTTTCATAAAACCCGTCGAGACGAAATTTTCTAGGGCTAGTAATTGAATCATTAAAAAAAATGAAGAAGAACAAGGCGAAGAAGAGATTAAAAAAGGGCGGAAGAGGAGGGAGAAAGGGAAAAAGTTCGAAAATAGTCGATAAAGGTTCGGATGGTTAAAAACTGCGAAAAGCGGTTCAGATCCCAGCCACATTTCTTTTCTGCTATTAGGTTTTCTACCGGAAAAAAGCAAGGATAAATTGTGTCCGTGTTCTTTGTTCTTTCTTCTTCGTCTCTGCTTCGACCGCAGCGCTCATTAAAAAATACTCGCTCAATCTGGCGAGGCAAGCCGAGCGCGGTGGCAGCCGCACGAGCTTCTTTCGTGTATTAAAGTATAGGTACATCGTGTGACGCGCTCGACTTGGCTTTCTCCTTGGCATTAGTGTGTATTAACGTGCGTGTGCACGCGTGAGCTGCGCCGCGTAATGAATTCCTAACCACCCTTTTTTCCGGTCTCTTAGTGCTTTTGTTCTCGTGCCTGACCAACGCGTCGGGCCTCATTGTGTGCGTTAGTTTGCTTCGCAAAGTTTACAGGATTATACCGGCTAGTGCAAGGATACGCGCGCGTACACATACTCACGCTCACCCTGTATACATTATTAAGTGCTTTCCTGCTCCATAGACTCGGCCGAGCTCGCTTTCTCTATTCATTATACCTTATCCATTTGTTTTTTTTTTTTTTTTTTTTTTTTTTTTTTTTTTTTTTTTTTTTTTTTTTTTTTTTTTTTTTTTTTTTTTTTTTTTTTTTTTTTTTTTTTTTTTTTTTTTTTTTTTTTTTTTTTTTTTTTTTTTTTTTTTTTTTTTTTTTTTTTTTTTTTTTTTTTTTTTTTTTTTTTTTTTTTTTTTTTTTTTTTTTTTTTTTTTTTTTTTTTTTTTTTTTTTTTTTTTTTTTTTTTTTTTTTTTTTTTTTTTTTTTTTTTTTTTTTTTTTTTTTTTTTTTTTTTTTTTTTTTTTTTTGTTTTTTGTACAATATAACCAGAGTTGAGCTTTGTAAAAAAATAAAAGGTACTGTAATTTTTGCCAGAACTCGCGTACGTGTAACGAGGTCTGGCGCACGTGCTAGAGCCGATACTCGCAAAAATACATCAAATAATCAAGAGATTTGTTGTACATATAAAGGAAACGTTTTAGAGGAAGAGTAAAATTCAATATCTAGTTGAAATTCTTAAGATAGTGACAATAAATTCAATCGCAAAGCAAACACGACAGTAGGAAAAAAAAGGAAGAAAGTTAGAGAGAATGGGGTGGTTCGATCGTTTCCAATCTCGAGCTGGAACACACAGGAACGTGCTTTTGCGCGCGTGGGCGATGCACACAACACGCTCTCTTTTACTTCTCTTTTCGCGTCTCTCCTCTCCCCATTTCTCTGCCTCTCTCTACCTCTCCGTTATCCTTGCGACGATGTATACGTCTATAGCCGAGCTCGTGCAAAAGCACGATTCTAGTCCGAAAAGAAAAATACGCTATACGGAGAAAGAAAATATATCGCAAAGCTATCTCTCTTGGCCTCGTTGTTGCTGCTGGCGCTGCTGCTGGCGCTGCTACTGGCGCTGCTACTGCTAGTCCGTCGTACGTGAGATCGAGCCATTTTCTCATACTTTATCCGCTTCTTTTCCTCTCCTCGATGGCCAATCGAATAATTGCAATTTACTCGAGGCTGAAGCTTGCACGATTATACCGACGAGGTATTTGCGCTTTACGACGGGCGAGAATCCCGCTCGAGTAAAAAAGACAGCTGCAAGTGCGGGCGCAAATCAGCGGCTCGCTCCTTATTTCGAGGGCCGAAAGCGCGAAAAACAAAAAGAAAAACAAAACTTAGATAAGGCAGGTTAAACGCGAATCGCCGTGGAAGGAGAGAACGCGCGTGCAACCTCGGCATGTTACAGAGGTTATTAAAAGGGCGCGCAATGCACGTCGTGCTGGAGCCTCGAGCGAAAGGCACGCGACAGTTTTAGCGCGCCGCGCAGAAAAGACAACTCGCAAGCATGTGTACACGTAAGCGCGTTCCTCGCAAAATTGCATCGCCTGGCACGCATTTACCTAGGCTATGGCTAGAGCCGTTGGCGCGTACGCGGCTGCATAGGTGCAGTTAGAGCGAGGCTTTAACGTCGCCCCGTGCCCGCCGCGTGCACCGCTCGGCGGCACGTGCTCGCTCGGATATTACGGCCGCGCGCGAAGAGTTGGTCCGTAATTAGATTGCGCCTGCAGATACGTGCGTGCCGCGCACATAACGCGCGCCAACTCTCCCCCTGCCCGCTGCTGCGTTGATGGCCATGATTTGTATAGCTTCTTTTCTTGTTCGAGCGGATCCTTTTCCTTTTTTCAAAGTGCCGCGCGCCTCGGCTAAAGGCGTGATTAAGCGCCGCGAATTCGCGATGCAACTAATATATTTCCACTTGCTTTTCCCTGTCGCTATATCGTACCTAAAGCTATCCTCCGCAAACTTTCGGCACCCACAGTGAGCAAAGTTATCTTTTTATCGCCCGCGATGACGTTGCTCGCTTCGTTCTCGTAATCATTCAAAATGTCGTGTATCCAGTGCAAGAAATATGGATTAATAATCAGTCGCGCTAATCATAATGTAGGCAATTCGTAGAGGCAAGTGGACGTGAAATACGGAGGCAAATGCCAAAGTCGCGCTCGCAAACTTCCTGCTCGAGCTCATATCTGCCAAGAAGCAAGAGCTCGGCTGCGCGTAGCGTGCCTATACGAATTAGCCAAGCGGCCGACGAGTATTAGCTCTTGGCTGCACATAAGCAGTAATTAGGAGCTCGCAACGAGCTCTGAGTATTCATCCATTTTCGGATCCTTCTGGCCATGCGCACGAATCTTTGACGGCTCCTGCGCGAGGGACTCGTTCCTCTTTTGCATCAGCAGCCAGTCTTGATAAACTTTGATAAACTCTCCTCGCTCCTTCCTTCAAATTCTCTATCGAATGTTGCTATTCTTTGCTTACCTTATTGTAATCTAGCGCCAGTCTCCTACTCTCCTTTGCACACGCGTATAAGCACGAAAACTTGTCTGTACACACAAAAACGCACACGTACGCGCGTGCACACATACAAACAGCTGCGCGGACTCAGTCAAACCTATGTCTATGTCTATAGTATATTGTGCTTATTGTGCTGCGCTGGCAAATCGATTTTCCTCGTTCGCATTGAGAGCGAGTTTCGAACTTGTTCAAATACATCCAAGTAAAATATCATGGGGCTTGTCGACCAGCTATATACGAAGTCAAGTTGCTATACAGACTCGTTCGCTGCTGTACAGTGAATCTTTCGCGCAGCGATGGCTTCTCTCTCGGTCTCTCTCTCTCTTTCTCTCCTCTTCTCTCTGCGTCATCGTCTCGTGGACGCCAAGTTTAATTCGCTACCGCCGCACTCGATCGATGTTGACCTGCGAAATACCCCGCTCGGATCTCGACATCTTACCATACCTATACGTAGTATATATACTCGTGATATATAATGAAATAGTTTGATTTCGTCTCCGTTTTTTTTTTATTATTATTATTATTATTCCGATGGCTAAAAAATTTATCGATATCTTGGGAAAGCGTAAATATTTTTTTGCTCGCTCCTTTTTCGAGCTAACGCGTCGATTTATGGCGTCTCTTTCGACACCGTTGGAGAGTTATTTTCAAAATCTCTAGATGCTGCTCTACCCGCGCTTACGAGCAATTTATTTCGATTGTCCCCTTTCTCTCTTTCTCTTTTTGCACTTTCCACTGGTGCTATATGCGCACATTGTGTCAAAGTACGTCGATTAATTTGGCAACTGGTGCCGTCATGTCATTCCAGGCCGCAAGTCTGCAGCTGACCGCAGCAAATTTTTCCGTCAAAAAATAAGAGCTAAAAACGAACTAATATATCTCGTTGATTATTAACATGCTAAAGAGGTTCTCGCTAAAAAATACATAAGGTACACCGGGGGCTCGCCAAGTATACATTTAGGCGTTGGCTAATGAAAAAAATAGGTTCGGTGCAGTCGTTGCGGGATAATTGCGTGCGCGCCTACGAGCCGTATACGGTACGCAGAAGCGGCTCGACTGCGAAGCCAGAAAGGGGGGCCGGATTCTGCCTGGTCCGTAAGAGCGCGGCGCTTGCCAAGTGGCGACGAGCTGTAGCCCCGGCTATTGTTCGACCGTATTCCGCCGTGCGCTGCTCGCTATACATAGGCAGTACTGACTATAAGGTGCATATACCTCTTTGTTCGAAGCTGCAGCGGCAGAAGCAGCCTCTGCTTCGGCCTAGCTACTTCGTATACACGTCCTATGCGTCCGAAGCGAAGCCAAGCGCTGCATATACATGGCCGGGCGGCCGGACACGTAGGCCAGGGCAAAGTACGTGCTGCTGTTATATAGCTGATTTAACGAGGAATTGCGGCCCGCAGCGAATACATCCTAGACCTTGTAGTCGCCCACTCCCTCTATATATCTTAGCCTCGTACTGCACCTTAGCTACGTTCAGCCTGTAGCTATATATACGCATATCTATATCTACTATGTACGCGGCCTATCCGAGCACACACTTGCGGCGCGATAACTTGACGGATAATAACCCTGATGCATCAGCCATTGGACATTCTGTCGTCGTATAACTACTTGACGCACTACGTGCCGCATCTCACTCCTTGTCCATATTTCTTCAGCTCTCATTCGCGTATGAAAATTGTACGAGCTTGCATCTGGCGAGTTCGCTTGAGGAGAGACGATAAGTCGACATTTTTTGGGTGAATTAGGCCCACGGGCTATTTACTAGGCGTTTTCACTTTTCTCACACACGACGTTGTGACATTTAGTAGGGGCATGTTTCCACCGAGTCGTACATGTGTGAAATCATCCTTCCTCATAGAGGAACATGTGCCTGTACTAATCGACCAACCATTTGTATGTTTCAGTGCCTGTTCAAGAGGTCACGGCGCTGGTCGGTGAACCAGCCTACCTGCCTTGTGATATAACTCCAGCCAAAGAAGGCGATACGGTTCATTTGATCCTCTGGTTTCGTGAGGATCGCAACGGGACATCAGCTTCCATTTATAGGTAATATATCTTTTACTTTTTTATATTTTATTTCTCTTTTTCATTGATTGTTCGATACTCGATGGAACGCTTTATTTAGTCGAATCACACGCGAAACTAGTTTAACTTTTCGATTTTCTTTCGGGCAAATATAAGAAAAAAAATTTCGTCTGCCTTTCTCAAATTTAGCCCACGGCAAATTTGACATTTTGCCATTTATATGGATAAAATGTACGATGGTTCTTCGTATGAAACAAAAAAAAAGATGAAAGAAACGTATGGTTCATCGAATGAAATGAAATAGATTCTGGTCGCCACCGAAACGAAATGAAGTGCAAATAAAGACCGTGTACTCGCTCGGGCTAACCTTTATTGCGGAAAATTTCGTGCCAGATAGAAATGTACGCGCGCAAAATCGCTTAACGAACTTTTGAGGAATAGTGCACAAACTTCTCTTGTTGGAATATTTTTTACCTTTCTTGCGCTCGCGTACGTATTTCCACGCGATGAATAATCAGACAGGTAGCTTCGTGGTTTCAAATCACATTTTCGCTTATCACATTAGTACTATGTAAACTATCCATGATACTTCCCGCATTCGTACATTTAATTGCATTTTCCAACTCAATTGTACAACTACAAAGTCGAAGGAGGAAAAAATGTAACGGCAAAGAGCAAATTTAATCCATTGAAAATATATATTGTATGTAATATACGCAGAAAATACATTGTAAACAATGCACTTTTCAATAAGGCTCTTTTATAATAGATAATAATAAGGAGACAAAGCTTAGCATTGTCATGAAGCTGCTTCCAAAGTATAAACAATATTCCGTACACATAAACTGAGAAAATAATACTCGCATTGCTCCTTGTATTGCTGCTGCCGTCCCTTTTCTCTGCGAAACAATTTCATTGTAAATTAAAATTCTGCGTAATGCACTGACAAAAGAGCTAGGCAGCCGTTAATACCCGACTTTATTGCACATTTTTATCTCGATGTGCGATTCTGTTTCTTTTATTTTGCTTCCGATTCGAATAAAAGTCACAATATATATCGATTGAGACGTCAATTTGCAAGGCAGGAGGCACTTTAAAAAATGAAAACACCAGTTTGATATTTTTATTGCGAAAATATAAAATCTAAACCGTTTCGCCAACATTTGCGAGCGTGTAGAGCGAAAAAAATCTGCCAACAATAGCATCATCATCATCATCGCGATTAAACCACAACAGAAGTAGTAGCAGCAGCAGCAGAAGCTACAGTAGAGGGTTATAATTTGGCGAAGAGCTTCTCTCTTTTTCCAAAAATACTAACTGCGCGCGCACTTTGGCAATTAACGAACACAATGAGGAAAAAACTATGTCGGCCGGTGGGAAAAATATCGAGTCAGTCTGGCAGTGTTGCTTCGCAGAAGTAACAGTAGCAGCATCAGCGGTGGCAATGGCAAGAGAAGAAAAAGATATAGGCAGAGGGCAACGAGAAACGAGTATATAACATAAGCAAAAAATAAAGAAGCAAAAAAGAATGAAAAGGAGAAAAAGAGAGAAGTAGAGGGGAGAGGTACTCTGGGAAATCTCGTCCTAGTCGCTAGTCGCTGCTGTTACTGCTGCCTGTTACTGTCGTCGCGGCCTCTTTTCTTTCTCGACTTTTTCTTCGGTAGCTGCACTCCACGAGGGGGCGGCGAGAGATGCATGCTGCACTATAGCAGTTTTATCTCAAAAGCTCGCAAGCTTCAAGATCTTACTCTTCTATTCTTTTTTAACTCACCTGAACACGTGTGTGAGTGCGAGTGCACGCGTGTGTGTATTGAACGAGCCGAGCTGCTTTCTTACGCGCGTGCACGTGTATGTTTGTGCGGAGAAAATAAGAAAAATTGATCCAGAAGGGGTTGGCGATTTTTCGTGCGTGTAAAACCTATGCGCACCTTTTATGTAGGTTCGAGTACTCGTAAATTGCAGACAGCTTGTAGTCGCGCATATACGCGCTCACATCGAGTTGGCGATGCTGCTACGCTGACGTCGAATTCTCTCCTTCTTATTAAATTCAAGAATTTATTAAAAAGAAAGCTCGTACTCGTGAGTCTTATTTTCCACGAAATTCAAAAGTCTACGTAAGCATATTGAATAAGTTCAAGCGTAGGCTAAACTAAACAACCATAAAACGAAGTTTGAAAAGCAAATAAAATCGAAAAGAAAAGTCCAGCTCGTGCAAAACAAAATTGCAAATTAAAATTGAATGCATTTTCTGATGCAATATGGAGAAAGGAGGAAGGGGGTATATAATGGACAGAAACTACCCTTTGTAACGTCGAAACTACATTCCGTAATGCAGCAGTCGCTATCCGACTTCAATATTTCAGATATACGAGACTTTTCCATTTCCTGACACAATGTATACGTAGGCGCGTTGAAAAAAGTGACTTTTGCAGAGGCTAAGAAAGCTCAAGTAAGCAAAAAGCTTATATACAGCGGGTGCACTGCTGCCGCAGCCGCATACGTGTATGAAGAAAAAGACATTTATCAGATGTGTATAAGAAGCATAAATAAATAGCTTCGAGCTGAGATGGGGTGAGTGAGGAAGAGGAGGAGGAGAGAGCGAGAGAACTGTATACAGCTGACCGCAAGCTATATTTTACTTTCCTACGTTTCTTTTTTCGCTCGCTTTTTCTGCGCTACCGCGAAAAGGTATGAAACAGTAGCCCGAAGGTGCATTGTTTCGAGGTTTATTATATACGTCACTTATCAAACCTGTCTTTCCACGTGTGTTTTCTCTCTTTCTCCTAGGTACTGCATGTACTGCGATCTAGTACGAGAAAAAGAGTTAGATGTGGCCTGAATAGAAAGGAATAGAGAGAGAGAGAGAGTGAAGCAGCCTAGGTTGTAGTAGTATATTTCTCGTTTTGCCCGCGAGCGACGTCTAGCCCTTCTCTCTTTATTTTTCTTCCTCTACTCGTAACACCGTCGGCGGCGGCGGCGGCTCACTCCCGCGCGTACACTTTTATCCGGGTCAGCTGCTCTCTACATGTAAAGAGGCCCTTCTCTCTCACTCTTTTTTGCCTGCCTACAACGTTTAATCCCACTTCGCCCCCTTTCGCTTTTCATTACTCCATTTATTTTTTTTTTCTTTTGGATTTTTTCTTCCTGCCCACGCTATTCCTACCTTTTTTGACGTGAATCTTCTGTAACAAAATGAAGAAAATCATGTTCTCCTATGGCGGCATTTATTTTACCAAGCAATGCGTTTTTACTTTCGACTGGCATCTCGCGCTTGTATGAGCATATGTAGATCTATACGTGCTCTAGTATATATATAATTAATCGATTAGAGTTGAATAATGCGCGAATTCTCCACTGACCGTTTTCATTTGATTTCTACTCTTGCAGACTTTCTCACCCTCCCCTTCTCTCTCTCTCTCTCTCTCTCTCTCTCTCTCACTCTCTTTCGACTAATAACCACTCGATATGCAAATTGAAATTGTGTCTAGTCAGGAGAGGGGCCATTATTGCTTCAGAAAGCTTGATCGATACGTATGTATGTATAGTTATATGCATAACCGCGTGCCCTACATGAATTTTGCATATTGAAATAATCGTAAATTTCTACAAATTAATATTGCTTCATGCCCAACTGCTAGTAACGATAATATTATTGCTCCATGCCTAAAATACTAATTATTCTAGATAGGTGATGATCGTCTTATTTCTTTCCCTTGCTATATTTTTGTCATTCTTTTGCTTTTTTGCTATCTTTTGACCGACAAATAAATCCGTTTCATTCGCAGAGTATACCAAATTGAAGTTTTAATAGCTCAGTTCACCTTATGCCTCGTTGATACGCTATGCTCTCGAGTACACATGCACACGCACACACACTCTTTTCGCTTGAAATATTTTCTATCGCCTGCCCTGAGCATATAGCTGCAGATATAGAGGCTCGGACGGGAAGGGGCGTGCATCGTTGCGCAGCTCTCTCGTATCGCCTTTTTATCCAACTCTCGCTAACGTACGTATATCGTACGTATACACATTCGATATGTTACCCGGTATTTCCTCGTATCTCTTTGCTCCCGCTTCTCTCGGACTTTTCTGACTCTTTTTCGCCCTCTTTTTTGTTAACTGTTTCGCGCATCGTCAATTGGATCCACCATGCTGCGCTACTCGCATGCACGCATACATCGAGACTATACGTCGAAATCAAAAGCTGTAAAAATTTGACGTTTATGTAGCCCGGTCAAACTTAATATTTCGATGACAAGTCGTATTCCAGTGAAGCAGAGGTTTTATTGTATTTGGGTGGCCCAAAAGACGAAAAAATACCCTAAAAATCTTGATTTGTTGCTTTTAAAAATTATGCAAAACTCCCCTTTTTCACATTTTCATTATATCTTGAGAACCATTCAAAATATTGTGATGTCAAGATTTTTACTGTCTTGTATGGGTGCTAAAATACATGGGATTTATATTTCATGGGATTTAATTATAATATGACTAATTCTATCACCGACAATGAAATGGGCCGCCAAGCTCAGCAAAGACGGTAAATTGGGCTTATATAGCCGTAGATCGAATGACACGAGTGCAATTTTACAATTCTTGTTGCACTATTGGTAAAACTACACACTAAACTCTGATAAAACTTTTCCATATATTCATTGATAATAGACAAACCAAGAAAGCTTTGACCTTCAATGAAAGATATAAAACTAAATTTTCGTGAACTTTGAGCAAGGCGTCTTTTCGTACTCTCGTACTTTCGTACTGGAGTCTTGATGACCTGGTCGTATCTGTCTTTGGCTACTTGGTACGTGCTGTGAGCTGACAAATTTGAGGTTCCACAGTACCCAAAACGGCTAGTTGTTTACCGTACGTGTTTAGCAAGATATACGTAAAAAAATATTGTATTGCACTCTACAAAAGTTACAGTTGAGGCCACACAAAGTGATTTTGTTGCGCCAACTGAGAATGTTGTAGGTTTAACTGCGAATTTTGTATACAGTAATAAAAGTCTAATTTCGTTACCCCAACTAAATATTTTGTTAACGCTGATGCAACTTTTCGTTGAAACTTTTTCTCACTACCCTTCGCTTCGTGGTTTACGCAAGAGTAATTTCTACAATTTTCGCATTAATTTGTCCGATTTTGGGGTACATAAAAGTTCAAGGTATATATTAATGTTTAAGTTTAATATTTAAACTTCCCGAATTTGCTTGAATAAACTCAATATTTCGATCAATTGTTTATTCAGAACTGTTTGATTTTTTTTGGAATTCACGTATGCAAAAATGTACACTATAAATCAGTAATAGTAATCCCATACAGAGTCGAATTTTTCATTTATTGTTTGAAGTCGGGAGTGTTAGTTTTTTTTTGCTATTAATTAATCTTGAATGTAAAGATCATAGAAGATGTAAGTTTGAAATTTCTCGAAGCAATATGTAGTTTTCAATGAACTCAAACGAGTATACCGATAAAAGTCAAGCTCTTAATTTATCTATTTTAAGATCACGACAATATTTCGAACAATTGTTTGAAAAAAATTGACCTCGATTTTGAGGAATATTTTTGATTCTTTTCATTTAGAAGATCTCTCAACCATGACTTGAAAAAAATCAGCCTTATTAAAGCTACTTTGACTAGACTAATGTTGCGCTGCACGTAGGAGATGTACCCGATGTACAACGAAAATTGATGTCCGACGTAACTGTACATTGTGGGGCAAGCGAGTCCATATGGTCGTATCATCGGTGCAGTCGCATCTTCGGTGCAGCTTTATATTTATTCAGAGGAAAATTAATTACACCGACCGCAGGGCGAGAGTCAGAGCTAGAGCCACGCACTCGAGAGACGAGTTTGCAGGTCGGGCAAAACTTGAGCCATTCGCTGTGAGGGCAGCTGAGCTATCTCAGTCCGTACTCGCGGATGAAGCAAAATAATACGGTCGCTGTTTGCGTCGTTCATTGGAAACGAGGCAGTCCAAACAAAGCCACAAGATGCTCGAGCCAGCTGCACAGTGGAGACTGGGCGAGCTGCAAAAGTGAGCAGCATCGGTCCATGTATAGAGAGAGAGAGAAGGCAGAGCTGTGTAACACGAGTCAAGCAAACACACATCGGCGAGAGCACGGCAAACCCTTTGGGAAGCAACGAGCCAGGCCTACGTTAGGTATAACGCGATGACGTCGCTCGACGCTAGCTGCGATGGCCCTGCCTGCACTGGGCTGCTGGCTGGTGGTTTAGTTGCCGAGTGGCCAAAACTTGGCGCTCGTCGACGAGCTACTACTACTGGATTCTGCATTCGAGAGTTTGGCATGAGCGTGGTGGCGGTGGCGGCGAAACTTCTTATTTATTTAAAAGCGCCGACAGCTTTTGCTCGTCTAGCGCACTATTCCTTGCTTATATTTATACACAAATACGTGCTATATACGCGCACGTAGCTGTATATGCCAAATTTACACGAACATCGCCTCGACTCGCGTTCGCAGCTTGCTCGTCGAGAAAGTTTGCTCGAGACATTATAAGTGCGAACTTTGATACAGCTCTTGCGTTTGTCTGCGCAGCGGCTGCGCATAAAGGCGCTGATATATACAAAACTGCATCATTAGAACTGCCGGCTTAATTGAGCTATCCGATCGAATAAATTGCCATATCAAATTAAGCCATTCGAGAAGTCGACGAGCAGCTCGCCGCTCCTGTTTCTTTTAGCCTGCGCCACGGCGTAGCCAGTACTGCAGCTGTCTGACTCGATAATATTCTCATCCTGGATGTTGATCGAATTAAGAAAAAATGTGTCCAAAAGCCATGAAAGCAGCCGAGTAGAAGCCACGCAGCGACGTCGCTGCTTTTGATTGGCGTACGAGTGACCCGACGCACGCCTGACAGCTGTGAAATTGTTATCTGCATATGTAAGCGTAAAAAACCTGACGGATTGTTTGTAATCCGTCACGTGCAAGGGCCGCCGCTTGGGTGCATTAGGGATGAAAGCTCAACAATATGATTATTATAACACGAGAGCAAGACAGGGCAAACGTGCGTACATGTCTATATATATATAGAGCGATGTGCATTAACTTGATGAAATGCTCCATTCAATTAGTATGTTGAGTAATTTTACTGTAATACATTTATGTATTATCGTTTCACTTAACATCAAATTGTAAGCACGTCTAGCATTTCGACAACAGGGCGTACCCATAGCCATCGTAAATGGGAGGGAAAGCGAAAGAGCTGGAGAAAAAAAGTCATACTCGTGGTTCCGAACGGAGGGAGTGAGGCGGCTTGTGCAACTAATTGCTTCGGTGTCGATTCGACTTTACCCGTAAATAAATGGAAAAAGAAGAAGAAAAAAGGGTAGCTATGTACAATGCGGATGCAGCGCACACACGTATGCATGAAAAGTCTCCGCTGCTGGCGTTCACTGATTTCGCAGCTCTGCACGAACGTGGTGTGATTGAATGTTGGCGCGTTACAATACGTATTAAGCACCCAAGGGGATCGCTTGTTGAGTCGAGCCGCCACCGCAACCAGCAAAAGTCGTTGGCATACAGGCCAAAAGTTGCTTTCCTCTAGTGCCGCCGCGTATGGAGAGCAAAAAAGTAACAATCGATTCGCCAGCTTCGTCGCTGAACGAGCTCGAAATCAATTAATTCTAGCCTCGAATGCCCATAGAAAAGCTATAGAGCACTGAAATTGCAGCCATAAGCGCCAGATATGTATCGACGAATTAATTTACAAATTGAATAATGCATGCGTGCGTGCGTGCGTAAGCACAGAAGCAGCCTATAATACATCGATACACGAGCGCCCGCACGTCTCTATAATACATCACGACTCCCAGCTAATGATTATTCGCCGAGTGTAATGAGATAAATCGTTGCAACGAGGAAAAAATGACAAAAATAGTCGAGGCGAGCGATAGGAAAACAATGTTTGGTGCGGTTAAAAAATGCATAACTACATTACTTCGCCATTATCGAGCGTAATAATTTGAAATTGGATGATACCGTGGTCTCGTTGGCAATTTGTATCGAAGGAATTGCCTATCGAATCAACGCGTACTCGAGCTCTCGCAGCCACTTGTCCGAGCGACGACCGAAAGAGAGATTATGCTAGTGGCTGACTATAGGCGGATTATACTACTGATTATACTACTGATTGTACAAGTTGGTTAGAAGATTATATAACGCCCGGCTATATGTACTTGAAATTCGTGAAATTGCAGCCATGTACTACACTAGCGTTTCTGAGTGATTGCATCTGTACGCATATATCTGTAGCTATACTATTATTATTATATTATATATTGTGGTATTATAATGTGAGCTTTAATTTGCAGTGTCGATGCAAGAGATCGCGATCTGACGTACGCCGAAAAATGGTCGGACGACGAGGCCTTCTCGACACGAGCCACCTTCTTGCAGGACAAGCAGCCGGCCATGCTGGGAATCGATCACATAAGGGAGGACGAGGCGGGCATCTATAGGTGTCGCGTGGAGTTTCAAGTTGGACAGACGAGAAACTCTAAAGTCAATTTGTCCGTAATTGGTGAGTAATTGAAATTCGTTGCGTGAATTATAGATATCTAGTGAAAACTTTTCCTGCGCTTGTTTACATTGAGCCTATGAAAAGGCCGACGAGAACCAAATGGAAAGCGCAGTAAAAAGTATATCGCGTGGCTAGTGTGCCTCTATGTGTTTAACCTAAGTTAGTAAGTTTGTGAGTAGATCAATCCAACAGCCGATATGTTTTATACGTAAACTATGTTGAGAAATTTTTCTTTTTCACCCAAGATGTACGACCGAAAAAAACGTCTGCTTGAACGAGTTTCCTTCAAATGTTTTAAAAAACTCGAGTCCCAAAAAAAAAAAAAAAAAAAAAAAAAAAAAAAAAAAAAAAATGGAACTCTTGCGAAGAAAGTCGAAGAAAAGTATTTCTCTTTTTGAAACGGTTTCAAGTTGCGACACGAAGTGATTGTCAGCTGCTGCAAGCGTGAAAAACAATATACGTAGAAAATAATGAGTGATTTGCGGAAAAAAGAAAAAAGTATGCAATATAGAGTAATAAGCCTCGGAGAATTACGGCGCGCATTGACGTTTGTCCAAATAAGGATGCATGTTTGAAGCGGCTCCGCCTCCGCCGGCTCGATGCGTATGTATAATACATCTTCATCCGCTATTCTTCAGCCTTAAAAGGTGCGTTTCTATCGAGCCAAGCATATACGCGCGCGTACTTACATACCCTCTCGAACTTATCCAATCTTCTCCCTTTGCGTATTCGCCGCACGTAAATAAGGTCGATGTATGTACGAGAGAAAAGAAAAAACCGCCCCTAGTCGCAAGCGTCGTCGATGCACTACTTTTTCTCCCGCTATATATTATGGATTTTTTTCGTTTCTTTCACTCTTTCCTCATTCTTCTCGCTGGAAAGTTTTCATTTTATCTTGTGTATAATAAGACCTCATGTATAATAAATGCGCCATCCGATTAGATAACGCTCGCGAAAAAGTCGAAAAGGTGTCGTTTAAGATTTTCTCATTCCGCGAAACGAAAGTATTTCGTGCTCTATCTTATACTCGCGACGACATTGGCCACCGCTTCTTCGTTTTATTATATTATTTATTATACGCTTTTTACGACACTCGTATATATCGCGCGTATTCGGGGGGGCAAGGAAATAAAGATAAATAACGCTTCGATGCGCGCAGGACAGTTCCATTTTCTAAACTCGTCGAATGGACCACATAAGCGCTCGAAATATTAAAAATAACGTTTGATATATAAAATTTGTGCCAAGCAAGTTGTGTAGCATTTTTTGCTCGACCACGAAAAGCTATTTCTCTGATATTATATATAAATTTTTTTATGTATGAGACTGTAGCAGGAATTTCTTATGTGTCATTGTGCAATGAGTTTGATGACGAAGCCGATCGAGCTTCTCGTTACATTATGAAGAGTTTAGAACGGGAAGGCAAATTGTCGAGCAAAATGTTCTTGACGAAAATTGATTCTAAGCCGATCGAAATCTCGATTAAGGAAAAAAGGCGAAAAAATAGCTTGGTTAAAAATCGATAAATCCGTAGCAGCCGCCGGATGATCCGCCGTTAAATCAAATCTATTGCTCGTTCGTTCTGGTATTAATTTTTCGATTAAAACTCTAAGCGATGATTGAGCAGATACGTGTCGCGTATATTGCCCCGACGCTCAAGCTATATGCATAAAATGAAACTCGAACTAATTATAAGAGGCAATTTCTCGTTAGAATATAATTTCATAAGCGACGCACAGCAGCTTCACAAACTCTTAGACACTCTTCAAGTAGGCCATGCGCACCTACACGCTCATACTCGCGCATCAATACAATATACTCCCGTTATATACGTATGTATATATTGTTAATCTATTATAGTATAGCTGTACGAACACGTGTCCGTTATTCATCTTAATTCTACTTAGGGCTGCTTATATTATAGTGAACAGTGTGTATGTGTATGTTTGCTATGTGTGCGTGCGTGTGTGTATACGAGCGTATGTTTCAACCGAGCAACATATATTATGTACTTTGACTTGGCGTATACGAGATGATAAGCGCCCCCTTTCCCTGGCATCGCATCGCACGCCGCCGCCTCCGCTACGCGTCATGTAAATTCTGCCGGATGTGACAATTTAATGGCCCTATACAATCGTGTTTAAGCATCTATACTCCTTGCCTAGATCAAAATTAGCCGAGAGCTCGTGAGCGTGAACGAGGCGTTATAGAAAATATTAGAGGCAGCTAGCGCAAAAAATACAGTCTAATCGCGCTCGCATAAAACTCGAGCGAAATGACAACAAAAAAAGGCTCATGGTTGCGTAGTTAAAATAAATTACACGCTGTTACGTCCTCTCGTCGTTCTTATAGCCATCAAGAAGCCCGAGCCGTACTATATCCCATTTCGACGCGCTCTGTAAAACAAAATTGCTCGCCTGCGCGCATACCTACGCATTCGTGGCGCGAGAGCTATACACGTCGCCCCCCCCCCCCCCCCCCCCCCCCCCCCCCCCNCCCCCCCCCCCCCCCGCGGCCCGCCTGCACCCTATAGTCACCGCTAGCTTTTTTTTAGCGCTTTTTCTTTCGCGTGCTTGATGAAAAATAAAGGCCAAAAGCAAAATGCAGCAAGTTCGTTTAATTACGGTTACTACTGCAAGACTTGCTTTTTTTTTCACGACATTTCTCCGTGTATTTATACACGTATATAGCGGAGAAAAAAATATATGCATGTATACATTTTGCAAGATAAAAAACGAAGTGAAGACAGTGAGAGATGCATAAAGCAAGAAGAGGAACACAGTATCTCAGGCATAAGAGTTGGGCAATTAGAAAAAACGTCGTAAGTGTAGTAAAGCTGTGTGAGTGCATTATATACATGCGACTACATGAGCAAGGGGCAAAATGAATGAGAGATGAAAAGAAAGAGAAAAAGGCACGAGTGACTTTTGAGAATGACGAAAGGTACGGCAGAAGCAGCAGCAGCTGTAGCAGCCGTAGTAGCGAAAGAAGAGGCGTTAATAAAGCTGTACTACTGACACGAGCAAAACGTTCCTCGGAGTCGGTGGGATAATTAGCTTCTCTACTCGTCCCATTCTCGGGGATATATGTACATATTGTATGCGAACGGGCGAACGCAAACACGCGTTTATAATACATATTATTAGGCAATGGCTGAACCAATTAACGCGTTGCTGCCAGCCTAATTCGAGGAGTAAAAATATAAGGATCGAGAGGGCAAAAAAAAGAAGATAAAAAGGAGCACATTCCTCGCAACGGATACGTATAAAATTCCGAGCGAGTGAATAATTTATATAATGCGCATTTTAAGCCATTCAAGGCAAAAGCGTAAACGTAATAATACGTTGGGTGAACTCGTGCCAAATCTATGTCTCCGGCTCGACCCCCTTCTCTGCGCGCCCGCTGGGCTGCTGCAGCGAGCGAAGCTTTCCCTCCTTCCCTTTTTATAATATAGTCTCGCCAGTATATTATAGCTTTCTCATCTTGATACAGTTGGCTATTGTGTAGTTTTACTCGAGCATTGTCGAATTGGCCGAAAGCTCTTCCTCTTTCTCTCTCTCTCTCGCAGCTGTGTGCGCGATATCCATCTTTTTATATGCTACAATCGAGTGTATATGCATGCATATTTACAATGGACTGGTGAGCGCGAAGCTGCGTTGCTGCATTTGCATTCGCTGCGTGCTGAAAAGATTATCGTCTTTGCGCAACGAAATCGCTCGAGAAAACACGTAGAGCTGCAGACGCTGCCACCACTAGTGTACATAATCCGGCTTATTTTTCATCTTTTCTCCTTTTTTCGAGCTGCATAGAGCTGCACACTCTATTCGCCCCCCATCTCATTCTCTCTCGCTCGATATTATAATGCCTGCGCCGCGCGTAGCTGCGAACAAGGCAAAGTTATTTCTAGCTCATTTCTGCGCGAATCGAGATATGCGAGGCAAGAAAACTCGACGAGCTACCGTAGCGCGACTTGTTATAAGATCGTTTGCTCGAGCAAATAATCAAGCTCGCTCAAGACCTTTTCCTCTGGCCAGCTCATCAGCATTCATTGATTTTGTATCGTTGAGTACGATATCGTTGAGTCTTTGTCTACACGCAAAGTCTCGTCGACGTGATATTTTTTCGAGACAGCCGCGATTAAAATGTAGCGCTGTAAGTAGCTTTGCACAACGATACCTCAACGATACGAGCAAAGAGGGGAGCGAGAAAAATCTTTATCCTAGCGAAAGAAAGAGAGAAAAAGCCAGAGCGAGTCAACTTTGATTCTCGGTGCTACGGCCACTTGAATCATTCCAGTGACTATTTTCTCGAAGCCATGTTTCGTCGGACTGGCAGTAGCTCGGCCGCAGAGCCGCGATAGGTCCATGAACGCCAGCTCTACGAGCACATGCGCTTAGCCGTGCACATATGATATCGATCGATCGTCCCAGCGCGCATCATCGCATCGTGCTTTTATGCCATCTCGGGCATACACGAGGGAGCCGTATATATACTCGAGCTTGGCGGCAGCAGCGTCCACGGGGTAAGATTCGTTCGTCTAATTATCTAGCATCCATCCAAGACCTACGGCTCGATCGGATTTTCTCCTATAACATGGTGCTAGTGTGTGTAGGGGGAGACGAACACAAACACGTAGCTTGGGTCGCGTCCGACAACATGCCCAGGACTTGGACTCTTAGGGAAAGAAAAATTGAAGTTAAAGAGATAAGTTTCGCTCGGCAGTCGAATCACGCTCGAGGACCAGAAGCCTCCGTAACTGAGAGTACGAGCGAGCTTCTACGGCTTGCTATCAATCGGAGCCTCATGCACGCCCTCGCTCATGAGAATGTAATTAAAAATACTTGCTCGAGAAAATACAATAATACATTCACGTACGTTCTCGATGAGTAGCGAGAGCTGGCTAGATTGATATAAACATACGAATACTGATTCGCTCGAATCGTGAACTCGAACAGTCAGTGGAGTGGAACGCGGGTAAAAATAATCACTGTAACATATAT